TACACTGATGACCGAACTGAGCACAACATTTTGTCTTTGTAGATACAATTAAGTAGAAATTATAAAATATTCACTTAAGGTAGTACTTTGAACAACCCAATTAGGTGATTTGGGTTCCTTTTTTTAAACCACTTTTGATCTCTGCACACTTGTCATTCAGAGTCCAATAGAGTGATTACAAAGAACATTTTATTGATGGCTCCCCCAGAGAAATAGATCACATGAATTGCAGTGATTCAATTTAATTCAAATTGTCAAACTTTTATTGAGTAACTAAGTATGGGCCCAGCACTGTATTAGACACAGTGAGGTATTCAAATAATGTACAAAGACAAATGTCCAAGAGGATCTCACAGTCTTGACATAGAGATAGATTAATTAATACTATCTCTGATATATTTAATGGGCTTCAATAAAGACACCAAGTAATAGGAAGCAAGAGTCATGGAAGGTCAGAGAGGGAGTGGTTATTTCTAATCAAGGGAGCAAGAAAGGTTTCTCAGAGGAAAACAAGATTTTGGCCAGAATGAAAGACTAGTATACCAGTTCTTTACTGGTTATAGGTAACAAATAAAATGTAAACAAGATGAAATAAAAAGGTATTTTATCAACTTTTCTAGCAAGTTTGTCTTGCTTTAGACGAGGTAGATCCAGGAACTGAGATGTTGTCAAGCTTAGCTTCCTTCTCTTGGTTGATTTTGTCACCTTTCAAGCTCTCCACAAAGGTAACTGCTGAAGACAGAAACTTACATAATTAGTGCTTACAATACAGGCCTTTCTAGCTCCCAATGATCATTTATTAAAAATCAGTGAATGCTCAACGGGTGTGGCTCAGTGGTTGAGCGTCTACCCATGCACCAAGAGGTCACTGGTCCAATTCCCAGTCAAGGCACATGCCTAGGTTGTAGGCCAAATCCCCAGTGTGGGACATGCAGGAGGCAGCCAATAGATGTTCTCTCTCATGGATGTTTCTGTCTCTCTCTCCCTGTTCCTTTCTCTCTCTCTAAAATCAATAAAGAAAAAAATATCCTTAAAAAAATCAATGAAAGGTCTCATTGGCTCTTCTCAGGAACATGCCCATTCCAAGGCAATCTCTGTGGCCAGCTATGTCACATGTCCATCACTGGAGGAACTAGGGTAGGGGGCAGGGCATCATGACTGACAGCTTCATCAGATCAAATAGAGCTGGGAGGCTGCAGCTTTCCCCCAAAAAATATAACCAACTGGACAGAGATATGTGAAAGTAATGGACAAACATGACCACTACCATATTCCATGTCAGATGAGTAGAATGTTGTAAAGGAATGTGAGGGCAAAGCATTTGTGAGAAAAGGGAAGAGCTCAGGCTAGGATGTTAATACAGGTAAATGCAGGTAATGTTTTGAAAACAGTGAATGTATGGTGCTTGTCGGGTGCAAACTAATTCTATACAAATGATTGCAGCTCCTGAATTGACAAAGTTTTATATATATTTTCCTTTATGTAGACATTTCTACCTGGGAGGTTTTGTGTACATGCAACTGTAAGTTCAGCAATTATTTAAATGCAATGGAAACTTTGTATTTGAAGTAGATTCTGTGATGAATACTTGTGTAAAGTAAAGAATTAAATTGTCGCCCTGGCAGGTTTGGCTCAGCGGTTAGAGCGTCGGCCTGCGGTCCTGAGAGACCCGGGTTCGGTTCCCGCTAAGGGCGCGTACCTCGGTTGCAGTTTGTCCCCGGCCCTGGTCGGTTGTGCGGGTGGCAGCCACTCGATGTGTCCCTTTCACATCGATGTTTCTCTCTCTCTCTGTTCCTCTCTCTCCCTCCCACTCTACCTGAACAAAATATGGAAAAATGTCCTCGGGTGAGGATAAAATAAATAAATAAATAAATAAAAAATACTTAAAAAAAAAAAAAAAAAAGAATTAAATTGTCACCCAAAACACTGCCCTTTAATTTTCATTTAAACTACCACATACTGACTTTGCTTAGTATAATGTATATCTAGGTTAAATCTTTTTAAAAAATGAGTTTTTAATCCCTTTAAAATATAACTGAACTTAAGCTCTTAGAGCATTTCCTCTTCCTCATAAATGTTTAATAAATGATTCCTTGAATTTATATCAATAATTATAAAATCATCTACCAGTTTTAAAAGCGTAATTAGACCAGACCTTGTTTGTTCCTCAGCAAAGCAGTGACTGAATGTGAATTCATTGCCTGGCTCCCAGAATCCCCATGGGCATGGAGTGACATGGGCAATTGAATCCAGGCAATTTTATGTTTTAATCTTTCCTGTCCTTCAGATAGAAATGAAATTAAAACCTATGTGTTTGTGATTTAGTATTTATTTCACTGAGCCTAGATTATAAATAGATAAAATTAGATCCCTACTAAATGAATTTAAGATCTAAATTAGACAAATATGCAATATTCAGACCTTGGGAAATAAGTTGAAAAAGTGACAACTTAGGGAAAACTCAGGAACAAACCAAAAAAAAAAAAAAAAAATAGAGATGGCAAAGTATTCTATTAATAATATTCACTGGTAGCCCGGCCAGTGAGGCTCAGTGGATTGAGCATTATCCCATGGACTGAGACATCCTGGTTCGATTCCTGGTCAGGGCACATGCCTGGATTGCAGGCGTGATCCCCAATGGGGGTGTGCAGGAGGCAGCTGATCGATGTTTCTCTCTCACATCGATATTTCTATCTCTCTCTAAAAAAATAATAATGGTGATGATGGTAATATTTGCTGATAATGGACTAAGGCATAGCACTAAAAGGTCAATTTCCACTTCTCGCTCTTTCCCGAATTTTATCATTTTAAACATGGCACCTTTCTTCACTCTGCATGAGTTTTTCTATCTTCAAACTGTAAATATTTAGAGTTTGGAATGATATATGAAATAATAAACATGAAGCACTTTAAGTTCCTCAAATTAAGTTTCCACAACAAAATGAAATAATAATAGAGTACACTATATGAATTACATCTAATCTTCTATCTTATAAAGCAAGTAAATTAGGGATGAAATTTACACTTTAGAAGCAATCATTTTAAAATATGATTTTAAGAAATATTTTGCTAATACATCTAAACCTACAAAAATTTGGTTTATACCCAACTTTTGGGAAACATTTTGTACTAGGCAAATGTACACTTTTGTGATTTAATTAATAACCAATACATAAAACAATTTCTTAGAACAAATAATTTGTTCAATCTGTGGTACTCAGAGTTATGTGACATTTGAGCCATTTAAAATTATTGTTAACAAAAGAGCCATATAACCATTATCTGCTTTTTAGATATTTTATATCATATTAAATGTCCTAGCTTCCAAGCAGAAGAGCCTCATACTATGCTGTCACAGTGACATTTTGTGAGATACTGGGTTAAGGACCATAAGAGCTGATAATGGTTGCAATGTGATCATGCACTGTAGAGATAAAGATGATTTCAGAATACCTAAAAACAGAAAAAAAAGTTGTAGAGTACTATATTGAAATAAATCCATTGCATGCAATCCCATGGAATTTGATTACAAATGAGCCTGGAAGTTTTTCTGAGGTCAAGATGGATGATGGAAAGGTAAGGTATTTCCCAAGATGGTTGAAAGACATGTGTACAACCAGACCATACTGCATAAGAAATACCTGGTATAGTCACCAAAGTTTAAACAAGGTACAATGTGCAATAATGCTTCTGTGCCCAGTAACAGAATATCCTTCTCACAATAACATCCATGTCCAGTATGGGGAACAATGGATGGGTCAGTGTCAAAAAGGCTAGGATAAAAAGCTGAGAGCTGCCTCCTTCCTCCCCCCTAAATAGACCTGGCACACCTAATGAAACTGATGCTGTGAGCATGAGAAAGCAGCTGCAGTTGCTGGACCTCAAGTTCAGAATTCCTCCAAGTCTGTCTCTTATTCCATATTCAGTGTTGCACATTTCTCTTCATTTCTCAGGCTCTTTTTTTGTTTGTTTTTTCCTGATCCTTAGCTCAACTTTCTATCTCTCTCTGACCTCTGATTTTGCTGACGTGGGTTTTTGACTAGCAGCTCTGCTTCTCGCCTTTGAAAGACCTCCATGGCCTGATTACTGGTTTTCACCTACACCCTCGTGCACACTAAACCATGGGTAAGAGGCACCTTCTCCTCTTCCCTCTGGTAACCCAGTGGGGCCTGCACCAATCTGTGTGTGACCCTACTAGATACTGTTTGATTACGAAAGATCTGACTTAAATTCAAGGGAAAGATTTTGAGTAAACTAGCAAAATCAGGGCACGTATCTCACCACATTCTACTTAGATTTTTTAGGAGAGTTGAGCATCATTCCACACATCATCCAATGCCTCTGACAGAGGGTGGCTTCTGCTACAATTCTTGGCACATAGAAGTTTCTCGGGAAATATTTAATGAAAGGATGGATGAATGAATAGGTAAATTATTATAAATACCAGCTATAAGATCTGGGAACGATAACTCTGGTTTTTGAAGATGCACATGAAGAAACAAAATATGATGAATCTTTAATTAGCATGATGTGTTTGTTAAATATTTCTATTCACATTTCTTTTTAAAAATAAAATCAGGAAGCAACTCAGCACATCTACTTGTCATCAGTTTGAGAACATCTGTGGTTTTAAAACAGCTTTGAAGATAGTTACTTGCCAGAGTAAGGCCTGACTTCTGCTGTGTAAGCAGTAAAGTGTTCTAAATTCATATGCACAAGTACATACCCTCAGAGAGGGTAGTTCATGCAAGTACCAGTTAGCTGGTCCACATCTTCTTCATACCCTGGTTCTCACAGGGATATGTAGAGAGGTTACAGATGCACCATCCCAACTTCTTGCATGAAAAACGGCACATTTTCTCTAGAAAAGGGGTGTTTATAGAAATGGTTGATGAAAGCAGACTCAGCGTATAAAATGCTTACTGTTTAGCGAGAGAAAACATCCTAAATTCAGGGCATCTCTCTCCATCAGCTGCTGCTCAGTGTTTGTGTTTCTTCAGATTGATCGGCTGGATGTGGATAGCTTGTTTAGCAATATTGAATCCGTGCATCAGATATCAGCCAAGCTGCTGTCTTTGTTGGAAGAGGCCACAGAGGACGTGGAACCGGCCATGCAAGTAATCGGTATGTTTATTTTCTTCTCCGTTTTACAATACAACAGGAAATAATATTTCAGTAACCTCCCTTTGCTTTGGTTTTATGTTTCTGACTCACCCAACTTCCCAGGAGATATATAAATGCTAAACCCTTCTTCAGGCTCATTGTAATTACACAAACTCTGTATTTATTTCGAAATGGGTTGATCACCAGTTGCTGAAGTCTCTCAGTAGCACTAAACACATCATTCCCTTTTTAATTTTCAATCTTTCAACCTCTTTGCCCTCCAGATGTTCTCATTTTGTTTTATGGTTAACACTTACTTGATCCTTAAAAGAATTAAATATTTAAATATGTTAATAGCTTTACTGATTTTAGTCACAATGTTTTTCCGATCTATGCCTATGAATCTATTGATTTGGGGATTGTAAATTCTTTCTGTAAAGAGTTTATATGATTTGTAAGACACACAAGTTCAGATTTTCCATGCTTTTATTTATTTTTCTCTATATTTGTTTTCCAAATATGTTTTTACTCTCAAACAGCCATAAATTATTTTCTTACTCCGGTAAGATTTTTGAAAAAAATAAAATAGAGATATCATAGGAAATATGTTGAGCTAAGTTTTTATTCTCTCCATTTCTTGGGAGGTTTAAAGGGAATACTGTGTTTGAACTCTTCTAAGGTAGTTGCCACATCAAAATCTCATATACATAGTGCTATGTAGTCCAAGAATTATTTAAAATAATTAAATAAATGTTCTGTTTTACACATGGTATGCAAAATGTGCTCATTGCAAAAATATTAAAACAGTTTAGGAGCACACAGGGTGATGTACCCCTACAATGCCACTGTCTTTCCCATTAAAAAAACACTGTTATAAGCTTGATGTGGATCCTTTTGAGATAGACACAGAGACGCAAATACACATTCACACCTTAGATCTTTATCTATTATGTCTTTACTTGTGAGTGGAAATCAGAGTTATAAAAATGCCATGATATTGATCTTGTTTAGTATTTATGGATGACCTGAAGATTAATAAGCAAGGCTGATCTTATATAAAAGGTGAATCAACCTAGCTATTTGTAATATTTTACAGAGCAAAATGCTGGTTCACTCAAAAAGATTTCCCCTCAGACTGGTTTAAATTCAATCATTTCTCATGATTAAATGTCTTCATCGTTTGTGTTCCCCCAAAATGCATGTGTCAAAGCACTAACCCCCAGTGTGATGGTGTTTAAAGGTGGGTATTGTGAGAGGTAAGTTAGGTTTAGATGAAGTCACAAGCGGAGTTTTCTCATGATGGGGTTAGTGACTGTAGAATGAGAGTGAGATTGCCCAGCGTTCCCTCTCTCCATCCCTCCACCATGGGGGGGGGGGGCACACTAAGAACAGGGTCCTGGGCAAGCCAGGAAGAAGGTCTTCACCAGGGATTGAATCCGCTGGCACCTTGAGCTTGGACTTCACATCCTCCAGAACTGCGGGAAATAAATGTCTATTGTGTAGCCATCCAGTCTTTGCTATTTTGTTATTGGCAGCCTGGGTTGATGAATATAGTTTCCAATAAATTACAAAAATATTTTTTAGAAGGAAGACTCTGTTTGTTATCTCTTTAGTTTGGATTTATTAGCTATTCATTTATTTATTATTATTATTTTTTTTATCCTCACCTGAGGACATTTTTCCATTTTTGTTCAGATAGAGTGGGAGGGAGGGAGAGAGAGAGAAACATCGACGTGAAAGGGACACATCGAGTGGCTGCCACCCGCACGACCAACCAGGACTGGGGACAAACTGCAACCGAGGTACATGCTCTTAGCGGGAACTGAACCCGGGTCTCTCTGGACCGCAGGCTGACGCTCTAACCGCTGAGCCAAACCGGCCAGGGCCCATTCATTTATTTATTAACTTGGTGAATAGGTATTAAGCAGCAGCATGTTCACAGACTAAAGTGCTGTATGGCATTGTTTGGTATCAAAAGATGAAAGAGTTCACCCTGGCTGGTGTGGCTCAGTTGGTTGAGCATCGTCCTGTGCACTGAAAGGTCACTGGTTTGATCTCATTTCAGAGCACATGTCCAGGTTGTGGGTTCTGTCCCTGGTCAGGATGCATTCAGGAGGCAACTGATGGATGTTTCTCTCACGTTGATGTTTCTCTCTCTCTCTCTCTCCCTCTTCCTTCCTCTCTCTCTAAAATCAATGAAAGACATTTTTTAAAAAAGATGAAAGAGTTCATCTCCATCCTTTAAAAGTTTGCCATCATACAGCTCCTCTAAGGTATTTGTATAATACACCATCACAGTAGTTTCTACACAACTGCAGATCTTCAGAGGATAAAAAGAATATTCCCAGTTGGGGAATCAGAAAAATTCTTGAAGATATTACTTGGGCTTAAAGGTAGAGGTCAGTTCAACAAGGGAGGTCTAGGTTAGGAAGACTAAGTGGAAGCACAGCAAGAACAAAGGCATAACCTGGCTGGTGTGGCTCAGTGGACTAAGTGTCCTCCCATGGACTGAGAGGTCCCAGTTTGATTCCCAGTCAGGACACATGCCCTGGTTGGAGGCTCATTCCCTAGTGGGAGGCATGCAGGAGGCAGCTGATCGATGTTTCTCACATTGATGTTTCTGTTTCTCTCTCCCTTCCTGTCTCTCTAAAAAAATCAATAAGAGCATATTTTAAAAACAAAACAAAGGTATCGACAGCAAATGCCAAGTGTTTTTAGGAAATGGGGAGTGATCTAGTCGAGCTGGAGTGAAGAATCCGTGCAAAGGAGGAATGACCAATGAATCTGTAATTATAAAATGGGAACAGACCCTACTCAGGATCAAAGTCTGGAATTTTCTCTGCAGGTAATAAGGAGCCATTAAACGTTTTTTCAGCAAGGGTATGATGAGACACAAAAGTTTCTAGAGAAAGAAAACTATGGTAGGTGTGAAGAGAATGGATAGAAGGAGGAAATGAGTCCTAGATCAATGGATGGGTAGTTATAAATAATACAGGCATGTGGAAACAAACATCTAGGCTAAGGTGGATACAGTAAGAATAAAACATAGGGGCCAGGTTCAAGAGGAACATGGAAGAAAACATAAAGAAGATTCAACAGTTGGCTCTACGTGCTGGAGCCCAAGGCAATTCCAGGTTTAACGAGACACGTAGTCTGATTTGCCTAGAACATCCTAGTTTCAGGCTATTGTTCAAGCACGCAGTCCAGTTTAGCATTTGTCTTTGTTTTCTACTTTTTAAAAGGAGGATCATTATTAATAGTTGCATTTTAAGAGATCTGATAAGACCTCCACATTGTACTTCAATTTCTGACAGGGCCTCTCCTAGTAGAGGGTAAGAGACAGGTGCATTTGACAGAATTCTCACTGCAGCACATGGGAAACACTGAAAGACAGCTTATCTTTTCTTTCCCAACCTTTTCTAATCTCAAGGACACTTATTTCTTCCTTTGAAGTATAGCATGCAGGACACTGGCTGATAAAATGATGACATTTTAACATAAGCAGCTAGCAACAGCTAAATGCAACCTGTTCTGCTGGGGTGGGAGATCTATCTGATGCTACAGATCCTGCCTTCCACTCAGTATAGCAATTGGTTGTGTCATAGCCCATGCTGGGTGGCCCATGCCGTGACCAGTGAGAGGCATGAAGCTGCCAGGATAACCGTCAATGGGTCTACTGGGACATGTAGGGAATTAAAGATTAGATGTATGTGCAATATGTGTGGGAGGTAGGAGCTGAGCCTTTCTGCGCAGAGCATCTGGATACTGCTGCTACAGTAGGTTAGTCATTTGTCTTATGCTGTAAATCTATAACTTTTTGTTGTCTATAAAATCTATAACTATTGTGCTTGACAATAAACCAATTCAGAAGCAAGGGGTTAATGCACACATGTTTAATAAAAATGATTGATTTTCTGTTTCTCAAGGAAGTTGATGATAAATATAGACCACATAAAATACTCACCTTCCACCATGGGGTCCTTCATTCTATCACTAATCAGAAGACAGAAATCTGCTGAAGAAGTAGCAACATCCAAAGCTAGTCATCATGTTAAATACTGTGCCCATTACTTTAAAACATTCTTGGCATTTGGCATTTTTTCCCCATGCTTTTTGTTCATGTTGCAACTTCCATTTTCACTCTTCTTCTCAACCTGGACTCCACTTGTTGAAATCTGACCTCTACCTTTAAACCCAAGTGCACGTGATATAATGCATGTGGCTGTAGAGGGTGTGTTTACACATTGCCCCAAAGTTTGACTTTGTTTGGGTCAAAGGATAGTTATCTTTTTTTTTTCTTTATTGATTTTAGAGAGAGAGGAAGGGAGAGGAAGAGAGAGATAGAAACATTGATGAGAGAGAACATCGATTGGCCGCCTCCTGCATGCCCCCCACTGGGGATTAGGCCCACAACCTGGGCTCGTGCCCTGATAGGGAATCAAACTGGAGACTTCTCGGTGCATGGGTGGATGCTCAACCACTGAGCCACATAGGCCAAGCAAAGGACAGTTATCTTGAATTAATCTCTCTCACTTTTAATTTCAAGTCTCCTTGGGCCTGTGAGCAATATAAAGCAATCACTATTAATGAATTGACATCATAAGCAGAAGAGTTTGCAGACAGTTCAATTATGACAGTTTAACAAAAATAGAAAGTCAGTTAATTCCAATAACAATTTAAAAGTGTGCAATTCAATTCGCAGAATCAAAGAAAAACTTTTGAAAGTTGATTATATCAGAGTTGAATTTTCTGACTTTATTGTAAATACTACTGTAACTTTAAAAATTATACTTGTGAATGCAATTGATAATACAAATACATATTTTGATGGAGCTCAGTGTCACCGAAAAATAATGTTTTTCTATATAAAGGAGTAAGTGGAGCAGAAATGTGCTGGGATCGTGTAATAAATGTACTGGTGCACATGTAATAAATCTATGCTATCCTAGTAACTGAAATGGTAACTGGTCCAAATTTACACATAGACTGACACAAGGTTAGAGTGAACCACATACAATATT